GGAACCTCTAGTTTTTGAGACCATTAACAGGTCTTCCCCTTCCCTAATGTGGTTATCTATAAATAACACTCATTTGCTTTTGTTTCTTGTTACTGTTGGACCAAACTAATTGCCGGTAACAAATAGCCTTTATTTCCTTATGTCTTCCTTTTCCAGTTCTGTGGAGTGATTTTGTTTTTGTTGAATTGTTTGCGTATTTAATAATTAATTACAGTTTCACAAACTTCTGTGAGAGGATATGTATGGGCAATATGTACATCAACAACTCCCTATCAAAATTTAAGTGGACTGGGTTCCACACTGAACGAATACTCACATATTTACAGGAAATTTTTATGTCCCTTCCCCTAAGAAATACGACTTTAGCGTTGAGTCGTTAAATTCCTTACGATCTTAGCGGGTAAAGTAGTTGACTCAGAAGCTATGTTTGTTTTATAATTTTCGGTGTCTGGTACACTTAAATCAGATTTATGAAAAACTTTAAAGCTATATCCCATTAAAGTATTACAAATAAAAGAATTCAAATTGTAGTGAAAAGTTTTTGTTGTAGTAATACATAGCGTATCAATTCAGATTTTACTTTAGCCTTTATGCGGATTTTTTTTTTTTTTTCAGCTTATTCCCACTAGAACATAGGATAAGTTGATGTATGGAAGAGAGTTTTTCAAGCATGGTGCCAAATGAGTACAAAATTACCTTGTGCACAGAGTAGGGAAGTAGTCTCTACCAACCATCTCTGAATAGAGTTAAGTATTAGGTAGGCAGTGCAGTTTATTAATAGCTCTATACACATCTATTTCAGCACAGGAGAGCTCTGTTAAAATGAGACGGTCTGTCCTCAACACATCATCCACATGAGGCAGAATATAAATTGCTCAAATAAAGCAAGTTTTAATGCACTGCTGCTATTACTGAATGAACTATATTTGCATAGAAAATTAATTAGCATTGAATTAAAATGGTGTTTTAATTAACCTGACTCTTTAAACAATTCTGGCTGTTAGCAATTTGCAATTAAAGTCATTGTTTCATTGCATTTATTGTCTGAATTAACTATTGAAGAATAAGTTTAGTAAATAATAAAATGTGCCATGTTTAGATAAACGGTAGCACAGAATAAAGTGAAAATAATGGAAGAGCAGGCATAGAACAGAGTATATATTTTCATGCTAAATATAGAAGGTTTTTTTTTTTTTAACAGTTTCTTTAGTGACTTAGTCATCTTTGGGCTGAAAGGAAAACTTCACTTTTGAAAGTTTTGCTATTTTTATGAGTATTACCTAAATATGTTCCACCACCCCACCCCCTCCATTTTAAATGTAGGAACTGTGGTCTCTGAGCAATGGTGAAGAATATTTCCTACGACTAAATTTAGCTGTGAATCGACACTACGCATAAAAACTCCCAACCCAAACTAATATCATAGAGAATATTTTGGGGTCTTTAGAATATTGTATAACTGCATTAAATAATAATTATATTTGTAAAGTTATCATTATCTACAAGTCATTTTTAAATTTTACCAAGCTTCCATAATACTTTATAGATGTTAAAGAAATTAGTGTGATTTTATATAATCTCTATGAAGTAAATGAGAGGTCATTTATACAACTAAGATAAACGGAACATACATGTCTGTTCAATGATTATATAAATGCAGAGTGAGTCAGTTATGAAAGCTGCTAAAACGTCTGAGAAATCTTGAGAGCTTATTTCTGATCCACTTCCTATTGTTCTCTGTAGTGTAAAATGTAATTGTTAGAAGATTGTTTTCTCAGACCTATTAAGAAAATCATAATTTCCAAAATATCGTGGAATAGGGTAGTGAAAAGAACCTGAGCTAAGAGCTTGAGATACGCTTAGCAGAGTAGCCTGCCTGGCTGCATCAGATAATTAGATGTTATACATTTCCTGCTGGGCATGCCAGGTGTGAGATGCTCAGGGCCACCAGCCGTGGTTCTCAACCCCGGCTGAATGCTAGAATCTCCTGGGGAGCTTTCAATAAACTTCGCTGCCCAGAATGCTCCTGAGAGTCCCCAAGGGTGGTGCTCAGGTGTCTGCTCTTAAAAATCTCCTTCCTACTCCACCCCCTGATTTTAATGCCCAGTGATTAAGAGTTGACTGATCATTGGAAACAATTTATTTTCACTCTTTGTAACTGCTAACCTGGGCATGGTATTCAAATGGCCTCCAAATAATGAGCCTCACATTGATATGTCCAGATGTAGAAAAGAGGTGAGAGAGGAAACAGTGGAAGCGCACTTTTCTCTTAGAAACAGGAAAGAAATGCCCCTTGACAGTGCTGAAGAACTCAATCAGATTTTAGAGTGAAAGGAATTGCAAGGCATAGTCCTCTTGTTTTATTTCTTTTAAAGGACTGGATTCCTAAAACTTACATTTTATTCTTAAAGAGTGATATGCAATAGGTCAGTCAGGAACAGAGTAGGCTGGGGAGGGTGGGTCAGACAGACTATCACAGGGCTACTTTGTTCAAAGCTGTGCCCAGTGCCTACAATATTAGGCACCATATTAGGCACCCAGTAAACTATTTTTTTTTTAAATAGACTTTATGTTTTAGAGCAGTTTTACATTTACAGAAATATTGTGCAGAATGAATAGAGTTCCCATATACCCCCTCTCCCCACTGCACACTGTAACTCTTTTTATTAACATCTTGCATTCTTGTGGTACATTCAGTAAACTATTTTTGAATGAAAAAATGACTCTGGACTGGAAATGTCTTGCAATCAGAGAATAGAGCCAGTCTCTCTGATGCTTGAATGCTCTTTTATTTTGTTATTAATTTATTTTCTCTTTTTTAAAAATGCAAACACAAGACCACATGGCCAGTAAGTAACAGTCTGGGTCCATCTCCCTCACACTTAAACACCATGCTAACCATCGCCTTTTCATGGTTGACTAGGTGACATATGTGTGGAAATGTTTTGAAAACCAAGTGCTATGCAAATATATTATTAGTGTTAATTGCAGTGGTATCAGTTGGAGGGTGCAGGGGGTACAGATGGCACAAGGTGACGTCATCTGAGGGGGTGACACCAAAATGACTGTCTATAAAATTTTTGTGCAGTGTTTCAGCACAAATTTAGTTATAACAACAAAAATATTTTTGTAAGCCCAGCTTAAAAAACAAAAACAAAAACTTGGGGTTATGGAGTCGATTCCAACTCATAGCGACTGTATAGAACAGAGTAGGACTGCCCCATAGAGTTTCCAAGGAGTGGCTGGTGGATTCAAACTGCCAACCTTTTGGTTAGCAGCCAAGCTCTTAACCACTGTGCCACCAGTGCTTCACATGTATCAATATACCTACAAGGCTGAAACTCTTGCCAATTTATTTTTTGAACCTTCTAATGCACTCTGGTCAGAGCCGTCATTATTACCCAATTAGAATGACCTTTGAATCACGTGGTTTTTTTGTGCACATGCTACAAGCATACGCTGTTGTTTTCATTGCTGCTGGTGTTTTTATGGTCACGGATTTTATGAAATTTTCTGGTGTTTTAGCTACAATATTGTGTTAGTATTTGTGAATCTATATCAATAACTTTTTTGAGAATGAAGTAGTAATTAAAGGAAAAGAAGGAGTGATATATGGGAATTAACGATTTACCAATAACAGTACAATAAATATTACTAAGGATTCTGTATGGTCTGGTACAGGAGGAGGTCCATGAGGGGGCAGGGTGATACCATGAGTTACCACACTGGGTGACACCAACGCTAGTGATGCTACTGATTAATTGCCTACATATTGGTCTCTCTCACTAGTTTTCTTATATTAACCTCTGTATACCCAGCATCTAGCTCATAACCTGCATCTAATGAATGTGTACGGCATTAACAAAAAAAAAAGAAAATACAGACTTACATTAAGTAAAAATTGAAAGCTTTCTTTCTGCACATACAGTTTATACCAACCCAAATAGTCTCAGAATCTCCAATAGTCTGTGATAATGCCCATTCCTGCACGACCACCAGGTCTGGATACCATCAAAGTTCTCTCCCTCTCTCTCTCTCTCTTGTTCTTTCTTATTTTAAACCACATTTAATGGAGAAAATGATATTTTATTGTTGTTTTACATTTGTATCTGTATACCTTCAGAATACTCTAGCCAAGTTTAAAATATATAGTATTTTATGTAATGGCAGCTAATATAATTTATTTATCTTACAATGTATCAAACACTGTTCCATGTTTCTATTTTTCTGTTTCTATGTTAAAGCATAATTTTTATAGTATTCAATTTTACCTATGTAAATAATCTGTGTAACTATTATCTTATTACTGAACATTTAATGTCTTTCTCATGCCTTACTAATAAAATCACACAGTAATGAGCACCTTCTGCATATGTTTTTTTCTAATCTTTATGAACAATTAATTATAATAAATTCCAGATAGTGATATTTCTGGTCAAAGGTTTTAACCTCTTTTTATGGCTCTTGATAAGTATTGTTAAATTGCTTTTCAAAGATGTTATCCATTTTTACGATCATTAAGAGTATATTACTAAAACAGATTCTTTACTAACTTTCTGAAATATGATGGATTTTTTTTTAATATTTAAGTATTCTATAGTTAAAACAAATGTTTTTGGCAAGAAAAGATTAGGCAGAAAATATTTATCTTAATGGAAAATATACTACTTTCTAATTAATACATAATAATTTTAAATTCATAAATTATAATTAGGGAATTATACACACAAAGAATGATGAGATAGGTATTTATATTTTTCGTGTTAACAAATGCTCACTTTATAATGCTAACTGAAAGCAACAGAATGCAGAGTGAGGTGTGCGTGTGTGTAATTTATATATATTTTTAAATATATTAAATCATATATACCTCAATCATAGGCTATTTTAATTTTTTAATACTTTTTTGTTGTTTCCTAATTAATCACAGTAAGTGTTACATCAAGATTGAATACCCTCCACATATTCCTCCACCCAGTCAAAATATCCATTTCTTTTAGGAAATTTACCAATGGTGTGGTTCTTCATGTAACAAATACGAGCGGCTGAAGGCAAGCCAGGTTGCCATTGGCATTCGGGACAATGAAAGGAAAGGAAGATCTCAACTAATTGTTGTAGAAGAAGGAAGTGAACCAAGAGAGCTTATAACGGTACTGTGATTTGTGTGTTTCTTTTTAAAGGATTAGCACTCCAAGCCGTGTCTGTCTCTGTATCTGTTATTGATGATGTTGTGTACTGGCCGGTCAATTCTGACTCACAGTGACCCTATGATAGAGTAGAACTGCCCCATGGTGTTTCCTAGGCTATAATCTTTATGGGAGCAGACTGCCAGGTCTTTTCTCTCCCGAAATAGCTGGTGGGTTTGAACCTCCCACCTTTGGATTAGCAGCCCAGCGCTTAACCACTGCACCACCAGTGTTCCTTCTTTCTATATTTACACATGTATATCTCCGAATATGTGTATATGTGGGTGCATATGTACATAAATATGTAGATATGTATGCATATGTGTATGAATGTATGTGTGAATATACACACGTATATGTTGCGTGTGTACATGTAACATATATGTTAGCCTTAACACGTTCTCTAATATTGGATCTAGCCTGAGGGTTACTTAAGTCATGATACTAGGAAAGCCAAAAGTCATGACTGTTTTCTCTTCCTATTGGTATGACTGTCAAAGGAAGTCCTGAACCTGTCTTCTGTGGTGTATGAAGACAAACGTATGGACAATACTTTGAAAATGACTGTAAGAATATATTTTGGAAAGAAGATATTAGTTTATTTACCTGGGTTTCTCAGTTTTTTTTTCCAGAAACTATAGTAATTTTCTTTGATATTAAAATTAGCAATTGTTTCACTAAAAGAATTAAATAAAATCTTATACCAAGAGATTAAAACACCAATATTTTAAATATTTCAATCATTTTCAGTCAAGAATTGCAGGCAAGACACGATTTTAATATAGTTGTTAAATTAATTTGAAAACTAAGTCTCTGTGACTCCATGTATCTACATTATTTGCTTAACTATTTGACGTTTAGTTGTGACTATTTTTTCCCTTTTAAGAGAACTTCAATGCATACCGTAGTGTATACATCTCGATTTGATTGGAAAATATTTACTTTGTATACATTCCCTTAAAAACCCATTGCCTACCTCAACAACAAAAAAACAAATAATCCAGTTTAAAAATTGGGCAAAGGATATGAGCAGACACTTCACCAAAGAAGACATTCAGGCGGCTAACAGACATGTGAAGAAATGCTCGTGATCATTAGCCATTAGAGAAATGCAAATCAAAACTACAATGAGATACCATCTTACCTGACATTACTGACACTAATCAAAAAAAAGAAAATAACAAATGTTGAAGAGGTTGCGAGGAAATTGCACCTCTTATGCACTGCTGGAGGGAATGTAAAATGGTACAACCACTATGGAAAACGATATGGTGCCTTCTTAAAAACCTAGCAATAGAAATACCATATGATCCAGTAATCCCACTCCTAGGCATATATCCTAAAGGAATAAGCACCATCATGAATAGACATATGCACACCCATGTTCATTGTAGCATCATTCACAATAACAAAAAGATGGAAATAACAAAATCTGAGAAACCCATCAACAGATGAATGGATAAACAAATTATGGTATATACACACAATGGAATATTACAAAATGATACGGAACGATGATGAATCTGCTAAACATCTCACAACATGATGAATCTGGAGGTCATTATGCTAAGTGAAATAAGTCAATCACAAAAGGGCAAATATTATATGAGACCACTATTATAAAAAACTCAAGAAAAGGTTTACACAAAGAAAAAAACAATCTTTGATGGTTACAAGGGAAGGGAAGGATGGGGAGGGGAAATCACTAACTAGATAGTAGACAGTGCCAACTTTGGTGAAGGGAAAGACAACACACAACATAGGGAAAGGCAGCAAAATTTGACCAAGCCAAAGTCATAGAAGCTTCCGAGACACATCCAAACACCTTGAGGGACTGAGTTGCTGGGGCTGAGGGCTGGAGACCATTGTCTGGGGAGACATTTAGGTTAATTGGCATAACATAGTTCACAAAGAAAATGTACTACATCCTACTTTTGTGAGTAGCGTCTGGGGTCTTAAAAGCTTACAAGCAGCTATCTAGGATACATCTATTGGTCCCATCACATTTGGAGAGGAGAATGAAGAAAACTAAAAACCCATTGAACCACGCCCATTGTGGTCAAGTCAATTCTGACTCATAGTGATCCTATAGAACAGAATAGAACTGCCCCATAGGGTCTCCAAGGAGAGGCTGGTAGATCGAATAGCTGACCTTTTGGTTAGCAGCCAAGCTCTTAACCACTGCACCACCAGGGCTCTGAAGAAAACCAAAGACACAAGGAAAAATTAGCCCAGAGGACTAAAGGACCACATAAACCACAGTCTCCACCAGCCTGAGCCCAGAAGAACTTGATGGTACTTGGCTACCACCACAGACCACTCTGGCAGGGATCACAATAAAGAGTTCCAGACAGAGCAGAAGAATGGAGAACAAAATTCAAATTCACAAAAACAGAACAGATTTCCTGGTCTGACAGAGACTATGGCCCCAGACACCCTGCCAACTCAGAACTGAAGCCACTCCCAAAACTCACTTTTCAAAGATTAAACAGGCCTATAAAACAAACAATAACAAACGTGAGGAGTGTGCTTCATAGTTGAATCAAGTGTACGAGACCAAATGGGCAACACCTGCCCAAAAACCAAGATGAGAAGGCAGGAAGGGACAGGAAAACTGGAGGAATGAACCCAGGATGGAAAGGGAAAAGGGGAGAGTGTTGACACAATGTGGGGATTGCAACCAGTGTCACAGAACAATTTGTGTATAAATTTTTGAATGAGAAACTAATTTGTGCTGTAAACTTTCACCTAGAGCACGATAAAATTAAAAACAAACAAACAAAAAACCCATTGTCATCAACCCAAGCCGTAGTATTTTCACTCAACCTCATATGCGTTCAAAAGCTGGACAATGAAAAAGGAAGACTGAAGAAGAATTGACGCATTTGAATTACGATGTTGGTGAAGGATTTTAATATGGACTGCCAGAAGAATGAACAAATCTGTCTTAGAAGAACTACAGCCAGAATGCTTCTTACAAGGGAGGATGGTGAGACTTGGTCTTACGCACTTTGGACATGTTGTCAGGAGGGAGCAGTCCCTGGAGGACATCATGCTTGGTAGAGCAGAGGGTCAGTGAATGAGAGGAAGACCCTTAACGAGATGGTTGACAAGGTGGCTGCAACTTTGGGCTCAGACGTAGCATTGATTATGAGGATGATGCAGGACTGGGCAGTGTTTTGTTCTGCTGTACATAGCATCATAGGGTCGCTGTGAGTCAGAACCGATCGGACGGCACCTAACAACAACAACATATGTTCTTTTAAGTAAGATTATCAGTCAAAGGATATGATCATATTCAAGTGTCTTGATACATGTTGGTAAATTGATTCCTATTTATTCATCCAACAAATATTTATTAAACTCCTACAGTGTGCTAGGCACTAATGTTTGCACCAACTGATACTGCCTTCCACAAGCATTGTGCTGGGTTATGACGTTACAGATCCCTATCAAGAGTTACTGTTGTAATAACTATTCGAGTATTCACACATTTAATAGTGGCAGATAGTATCCTTCTGAGTTCTCTTTTCTCTGTTTCCCCAGATAGTTTATGTTTTCCCCCAATGATTTTAGCCATTCGTATTTAAATTTTTCTAAAGACTGTCTTGTAAACATATTTTTAATATTTTTTGTCTAGAGCAATTCAATTCATTAGCATTACGTGATCTACTAATAGCCTATAAAATCCAGTGATCAAAAATTTAAAAATGAGATAATTTTTATTGATTGTAACACCACTAAACTATATTACTTTAAAAGTCACCAAGCACAATTTTTTTTCACATTGATAATGTTTTAGAAATTATTTTAATTCACTAGGAAAAATACTCATGGTATAATGCTAAGAGAAAAAAGCAGGATATAAAATTTTACATATGATATGATCTTAATAAGGAATTTTATATGTATGTAGGTATATATCCACATATACATATATATTTGGACATAAATAAGCTGAAATTATTCTAGTACTTATCTTTGACTCTTGGGAATATGGCTGCTTGTTATTGTCTTCATTTTTTTATTTTTAAAATTTATTATAATGGACACATATCCTTTTTATAATTAAAAAAGTCATTTAAAAATTAAATTTGGGATTCACTTAACTGGGTTTGCAAAAGGCAGAATTGTATGTCTAATAGATTAGACTTTGAAAACTATTCAAAGCAAATTCTAGATGGTTCAGAGTTCTTTGAAAGCCTCTGTTCTATACGTGTGATCGTATTTGGAAGGAAAATAAGGTGTATTTAAATTGATTGTAACCCCCTGTTTCAGTAACTATACTTTGATGCAGGTGAACTCAGGAACAGGATCTGTCCTTGTGGAGTGGTGCGCGGTATTGTTTTGCCATGGTTATTTTGGTCCCAGAGCCAAGTCCTTTCATCCCTCATTGTCTCTGGTTTCTCGTTTATAGGTAGGGGTTTGGACAAACTGCCTTTACGGTCCCTTTAGATTCTAATGGTCGGTGTTTCTACCATGTCTCTTAGTCTTTAGCGCTGTTTAATTACCATTGACACTTGTAATTTGTTCCAGGAAGTGGAGACACTGTGACTGAGGGCTTAGCTGCGCACACACGTACACACACACACACACACACACACACACACACACACACAGACATACACAGACATACACATTTGATTTCCTTGTTTATTGGACTTAAATTTAAAAATCTGAGAAAGATAAAACTATCAATACATTCTGTTGTTAAAATAAAATAGGAAGATGCAAACTTGAAGAAAAACTATGTTAAAATATTAGTGATAGGGATAAGGGACATGATGCTTAATATAAAAAGCCATGTCCGTGTTTCAGGATTTTTCTTTTTTTGGGTTTTAAAAAATCCTAGAAAATACCTACTTTGTTTCCATTCAATACATTCAGAGTATATACTGCATTATATTTAATAACCTTCATTCATATAATGAACTGAAATGAATTTTCAGTGCCAGTCTTCGTTA